TGTTGTTTGTTTTTTTTACCCCGCATTATACGATTCCTTCTTGTCACAGTTTCCGGCACCAAATGATACCTCCATATATTGGTTATAGGATCACGGTCAATATAAGAAAAACATAATATTTTCGAAAAACTTTGAAGTATTCTCACATAAAGATCACATGGAAACACTTCATTTGTTCGATTGGCATTAGCTAGATATCGGATCAAGTTTTAGCAAAGAAATAAAAATGCAAAGTAAAGCACATGCCATCATCAACGCCATTTAATTTCCATTCTCGGATACATCCAGCTAAGTATACATGAAGAGTAAAGAGTACAGAAAAGCAAGAACACAATGAATATTCTATGTGCATAATAATGATATGCGCATCTGTATGCGCAGTAAAATTGTTTGTGTAATTTTCAGTTTCCTCTGCTCGTGCAATTTTTGATTTTTGTTTGTGCATATTATACCCCTTAATCGTGTAAAAAATTTCGGATTCGAATTTTTTCATTATGTTTGTGTTAAAATCTTTCAAACTATGTGCAATTTTTACCTATACGTGCATTTTTATTTTACTCGATCGTGTATATTTTTCATCTAGCTCGTGTATAAAATCTTGATCGTTTTGCAGAAAATATTTTTGAACCAATCGGCGAGCCATAGTTTTTGTTTTATCTTGGTAATGTTAACGGTATAACAAATTATGTATATTCTTTTTTTGTCAAGTTAAAGTGGGTGTATGAATTAGATTCTGTCAAGCACAAGTAAAACTGCTGATCAAAGATTTTGTATATATTGGCTTTACATGTACTTGTTAAGTTAAAGAATATTTTAAATTAAGCTAAAACACAGGTCTGGGAGTATAATTCATTATCACAATATTATGATTTAGCACTACCAAACTTCTGTGTAAAATATCTTGTCAGTACATCTGAATGAAGGTACAAAAAAGTGCCTTTCTTTGAAGCTTGATAAACTGCATGAGTTATGGTACAGTATTTATTTATAGAAGTCGAGTTATATGTTGCTAACGTATTTGTTATGTAAAGTTTTAAAAAGAATTATGTAATTTTAGTATATTCTATTTATTATTCACTAATATTATTTTTTGACTGTACAGTCAAATTGTATATATAAACAAATATACTGGTTTTATTTTAGAGATATCAAAATTATTTTAGATTTTTTCAATGTGTTTCTTATGTTCATCTGTATGATACTAGTATTGTTTTTACTTTCACTTTGTGAAGGTCTAAATTGTTTATAATAAATAGTTTACATTTTTCTTGAAAATCAGAATCTTTTTCTGATATTAAAAAAATTCTCTGTTGAGAATTGAGATATAATTGAATAGAGAAAAATTGTCTTGATTATCAGAATTAGAAATAATTTAGTAAATTCAAATTTAAATCTAGTAAATTTACGGTGAAACCAAATTGGTAGTAAAATTAATTTGTTGTTGTTGACATTTTGAATTTAAAACCCCTCACAATATTCAGATGTCATACAATTGTTTTCTGTCAATAGACCTTCCCCTGACGCTTGGGTGTCAAACTGCAATATTTTATATCAAGCATTGTAAATATCTATTCTTTGTGTTTGATACGGAATCCTTAGTACATGTGTACATCTCTGAATGGTAAAGTATGGAAACTGGCGACTTCTTTGAAATTTGATTGCAGCTGATTCTTCTTAAAAGTAGATAACTACATTTAGTTGATGTAAAGAAAAAACTATCAGATGTTTTGGTAACAGGAAAATAGTTGTATGTTTGTTTTTATGTTGTTTTTTTTTGGGGGGGGCATTTTTGTTTTTGTTTTTTTTTTTAAATCAAAGTCAGTTTCTTTGTCTCACCCTGAATTTCATGTTTAAGGATTTACATTATTATAAGACTTTTGTTTTAATTTCTTTTTCTCTTAAATTACAAATATTGTAAATTAAATGCTTTTAAAGCACAAAAGGGAGTGAATTTTGTGTTTAAATTTCATTCTTCATCAGTTTACTGACTCTGTTGTGTTTGTTTTGAACGTATTTTATTGTATAATTCATACTAAGGAATTGGTAACAAGTTCTTACAACTTAGAAAAATCTTTCTCATTGTAAAGTTTGCTCAATTTCTAGAATTTTTTTTTTGCAAGAATTATGATAAAAACTTTGATTGTATGGTGATGCAAAAATTATGATGATTTAGTTAAACTCAGTTTGTTCAAGATATGTCACTTAAAAATAGAAAATAAAGTAGACTATAAGTTAACTTGACAGATTATAATTCCAGTAAACATTTGTTGATCTATGAAAAGTAACCTCCACAAGGCAGCATTTGACAAAATGTTGTACATAAAATGTAAATAAACCTGAGATAAATCAAAATGTCTTGATCTTTTTCAGAGAAGGCTACATTTTAATACCCCCACTTTGAATAATAGGGGTCATCCAGGTTCAATCAAGGGTGTACGAGGATTTACCCTGGGTTTTATTCCATACCTCCTGAGGCCAAGGTCCTCAGGACGTTAGACATTGCCGTTCAGTGGTTAGACACCCCCTCTCAATGGTTACACAAGCCCTCTCAGTAGTTGGACATGCCTGTTCATTGGTTAGACACGCCTACTCAGTGGTAAGACACGCCCACTCAGTAGTTAGACACACCTACTCAGTGGTTAGACACACCTACTCATCGGACAGACACGCTCACTCAGTGGTTAGACACGCCCACTTAGTGGTAAGACACGCCTGGTCGGTGGTTACACAAGCCCGATCAGTAGTTAAACACGCCCTTTCAATAGTTAAATAGGTCCACTAAGTGGTTAGACACAACCACTCAATGGTTACAGAAGCCCACTAACTGGTTAAACACATCTTCTCAATGGTTACATGCCCACTCAGTGGTTAGACACACCCACTCATTAGTTACACACACCTGTGGTTAGACACACCCACTCAGTGGTTACACATGCCCACTCTGTGGTTGGACACACCCAATCAGTGGTTACCATTAGCCATTAGTGGGTACCTTTTGAATGCCCATCAGTGGTGAGACTTACCCACTCAGTGGTCACACACGCCAACTCAGTGGTAAAACACAACTTCTCACTGGTTAGACACACCAGTAAGTGGTTCAATATGCTCACTCAGTGGTTTCACACGCCCACTTAGTGGTTAAACACAACTTCTCACTGGTTAGACACACCAGTAAGTGGTTCGATATGCTCACTCAGTGGTTTCACACGCCCACTCAGTTGCTAGAGGGATGTATAGTGGGGTATTTTTTTTTTTGAACGGTTATTTTTTCATTACTTATGAAGCAATGTATGAACAATTTCTAAAACGAAGTAAATTATTGTCAAGCAATTTGATAAAACAAGAATATCAGCAGTCTCGTTTAAAGTCATCATTTCGTAACTTCTATGGTCGATACAATGACCTTGTCAGCAAATATAATTTATCATTGAGTCAAATGCTGACTGGCGTTTTTCATATTTTAGTCCATTACTTATACACTGAATTGACGACGGATTTTTCCGTTTTTTTCACGATCATGATGTCATGTAATATTTGATGCAAAAGTTATGACCAAGGTATATGTAAAACTGCTTGATGTTAAAATTTTGAGGTTATCGTGTGCATGTCTTTAACCTAAAAATAATCCACATAAAGACAAAATTTCAACTCATGTTAACGTGTCTTTCTCGCTTCATATTTAATACGTAGACTTTGGGAGTTTAGCGCAGCACGAAGCACATTTGAAACCATTATGAAAAAATAAAAATGTCATAATTCTGTCAAAAATCATTGAAACGACATTCAAAATTGATTTGCATCTCAAAATACACTGACTTCACCTTTACACTCACCTACCTAAAATCAGCTCTATACATGTATCTGTAACTAGGGTTTAAAAAATTTGTACGGAAAACCAAGTAAGACATACAGATCGACTAACAGACTCAGAGGAGGCCTATAGTCTCCTCCGGTTTCACCGGTAGGGGACTTATAAGTGGGGGGGGGGGGGAAGGAGGGGGTAGATATTTTCCATTGCTATTAAGTTTTTAAATTTAAATCATCACCATATTTGAAATATTCTTGGATATAAGTGAATGTTCAATAAATCTTTTCTTTCATTTTAAGTCTATTAAGATATTAATCATGTATTATTAACAAGGTTTCTGAAGTACAGCGTATTGTATAAGCAATACACGCCCCCTACCGGATTCCCCTTCTTTCTGTAGGATAGGCAGCAGCTCCTTTGGAATATTACATTAGTGTATCACGAACCCGATCATACGCAATGGTAATCCCAATAATTATTATAACAAATCAAAAAATGCCATAATTCTGTCAAAAGTCAAATGAATGATGCAAGATGAAATTCAAACTTCACCTGTACCTAATTAACTAAAATCAGCTAAATATCTACGAACGATTAGAAAAAAAGTGCGGAAAACCAACTGGGACAAAGGGAAGGACAGAGGGACGTGTGATCAGAAAAACTCATTTGGGCTTTCAGCTCAGGTGATCTAAAAAGGTTATATTAGAAAAAAAACACCCTTAAAATTTGTGGTTGGAATAATAATAAGACAGAGTGACTACTATAGGGCACCCGCAAATCCTTGTACAGCTGGATTTATCTACCAATTCTCATAAAATGGACCAAGCTGAGCTATATTGCAAACAGCAAGCACAATCAGTTTTGATGTTAAATTTTATTTATTAATTGGATTTCCTGTTAGAAAAAAATAAAATTGTTAATGTAAAAAAATTTAAAGTTGTTAAGCAAATTTAAAATATTTTTATAATTATACATATATCAATGAAAACATAAATAAACTTTCAATCAAGAACAATTTAAACAATCATGACATGACGGTGACTACTTCATATAAACAAAAAAATAAACCTTTTATACATGTTGAATTTGCAGTTCATAAAGCTATCAATAAAAATTATAGGTAATATTGCACTCTGTTTATATGAACAATATCTCCCACATGATCATTTTTATGTATATAAAAAACAAACAAAAAAAAAAAAATTAAATAAACTTAAAATATGAAAATTTTTTGCACTACCTATATAAATTTTAAATACATATAAAAATTGTTAAACATTTAAACTACACTAAAAATATTAAAAAAGAATCATCAACACAAATAAATTATGGCTATTTAGCATGATAAGACAACTTCATGTAAAATCACATACTGTAAATGTATTATATTTGGCGTGTACGATATTTGGCGGAAATTGAATTTTCAACAAGTTGGAGTAGATTTGATTTAGCGCTTTTTGAATGTGCTTTACATAAACCTTTATACACAAAGCATTTAGCGATGTAATTGATTTAGCGGAGGCTGCCTTCCGCGAAAGGCGCTAAAAAAATACACATTTAAATGTAATACAATTACAGTATTCTAAGGAATGTGAGATTTTTTGCTTGATTTTACACAGCTTTTAATTAACAGCAAACTTAATACATAGTATTAGATAATAAAACAATTTTTTAAAATCGTAACAATATATCACATGAAGGTAAAGTGTTTAAGATAAGGTTTGATAATAATCCATATTTTTTTTATAGCAAGATCAATTGGCATGGAATGATAGCGATCAAAGTTCTTTGTGGGGTGGATCTTAAGCTATATTCTTTTAGGGTTTATCTCGTACTGATCCTATTAGTGTTTTGTGAAAGGTTGATAGTGATTCAAGTTCTGCATTATAAGGTAGATTCTGATATGTTCAGTTTAGTTTAAAATATATTTTATTTATTTGATAGAATGGACACAAAATCTCTGTGGATGGATATGGATCTAAGTTCTTTGCGGGTGGATATGGATCTAAGTTCTTTGTGGGTGGATATGGATCTAAGTTCTTTGTGGGTGGAAATGGATGCAAGTTCTTTGTGGGTGGATATGGATGCAAGTTCTTTGTGGATGGATATGTATCTTAGTTCTTTGTAGATGGATATGGATCTAAGTTCTTTGTGGGAGATATATGGATCTAAGTTCTTTGTGGGTGGATATGGATCTAAGTTCTTTGTGGATGGATATGGATCTAAGTTCTTTGTGGGTGGATATGGATCTAAGTTCTTTGTTGGTGGATATGTATCTAAGTTCTTTGTTGATGGATATGGATCTAAGTTCTTTGTTGATGGATATGGATCTAAGTTCTTTGTGGGTGGATATGGATCTAACTTCTTTGTTGGTGGATATGTATCTAAGTTCTTTGTTGATGGATATGGATCTAAGTTCTTTGTGGGTGGATATGGATCTAAGTTCTTTGATGGTAGATATGGATGCAAATTCTTTGGGGGTTGAAATGGATATAAGTTCTTTGGGGGTGGATTGTTATATGTTCAATTACTAGGTAAGATCATGCTATAAGTTCATTTGTAGTTGAGGTAAGGTTTGGGGGTTAGGATTTATTGTAAATTACATGGTTTGTCAATGAGCAAGTTTGAATTATCCCTTATGGATTTCATAACAAATCTGACATATCAAAGCATACTGAAGATCAATATTAATACAGCATGTTGTATAGTTATGTATATCCATTTTTTTCAAAAACCTTGTATTAAATATACACAGCATATTTTTATAGAAATTAATTGCAAGTATATCCATATATGATGAAAAAAAAACAGATTAAAATTTGGTTTGACCAAATTCAAAGTATTTGTCAAAAAACTTTCAATATCAAATTAACAATTGCGTAAATACCAACAGACAAGGAACGGTTATTATCTAGTAACAATACAATCATATCACATTCATTTATGTATAACCATCTCTAACACAGTGATTCCAAAGTGAACAAAAGGTGACGTTCAGCCAGTGGTAGAATCTTTATAGCACCAAGTTCCTTATACCTGTGAACTTAAATAAGCATGCTACACATGGAGTGATTATAAATAGTTAGGATCCAGATTTGACAAAACCAGTTCATTTTTTTGTACATAAGTAGCAGGTTTTTTTTTTACTAAAGTGAGTTATTCCCTTAATTAAATTCATAAGTACACAATACTATTGCCTAGCATATAAATAATTTATGGCACCTCATGCATTCAGTAAAACGTAATTATTCAATGTAACATTCTATCAAACTTAACAAACTATTTATTATTAATTAAATGTTATTGTTTTCATACATGACCTGATATGATTAAAATCACAAAAGGTTCTGTTTTGTAGAAGTAACAAAAAATATAGATAACAGATTAGTTTCAGACACCTCATTGGAATGGTTTCCTTCACACACACCCTCTAACCCACTATTGTTTGTGTATGGGTGGGTGGAGGGTCATGTAAGATCTGAAGAGATGGGTGTATTATTCTACAGACGGTCAGGGTGCTGAGGGACATTTCATTCTATGGGGGTGATGTCACTCACAACCCTGTGAAGTTCCTGTATTGCTGGTATGTCTGTTTGTAAAACACCTGATAACTTTGATATAATCCCTCTTGCCTTCTTTCAGAAATGTGGACTCTGTCATAAAAAAGAAGAAATTTGGAAAAAAGAAACACAGAGATTAATTTAAAGTTCTTCTGAATATATGTAAAGTGCTCTTGTGCTATGACTATAGATAAGTGGATGTAATGTGCTCTTGTGCTATGACTACAGATTGGTGGATAAAAAGTGCTCTTGTGCTGTAACTACACATTGGTGGATGTAAAGTGCTCTTGTGCTGTAACTACACATTGGTGAATGTAAAGTGCTCTTGTGTTATGACTACAGATTGGTGAATGTAAAGTGCTCTTGTGATGTGACTACAGATTGGTGGATGTAATGTGCTCTTGTGCTGTGACTACAGATTGGTGGATGTAATGTGCTCTTGTGCTGTGACTACAGATTGATGGATGTTAAGTGCTCTTGTGCTGTAACTACACATTGGTGGACGTAAAGTGCTCTTGTGCTGTGACTACAGATTGGTGGATGTAATGTGCTCTTGTACTGTGACTACAGACTGGTGGATGGTAAGACACACCTGATAACTGGGGCAGGATATGCTGGTTCTGGAACAAAGAGGTCAAACAGGTCAAGGCCACCTTCAGGACATCAAGGCTGTATTTACCAAACATGCAGTTCATGACCTCAAGGACACTCTTCTGAACAAGGTCATGAAAGAGAGACCTAAAAAGGTTAGATACCGTTAACATGGAAACGGTTAAAATTAACCAACACAGTAATGCACAAGACACAGTTACTTTAAAAAAAGAAATTATACATTGCACATCGATGTATGTGATGGCATCAGTTTTTGGACTACTGTAAACAAACTTTTATTCGCGTAATTTTGTATTCTCGATTTGTCAGTTAAAAATCAATTTGCAACGATTAATTTCCGTGACTGAGGAAACATTCTCTACAAATGCTTCGCAAAATGAATGGTTCGCGGGGTTTAATATTTGCGAATTAAAGTAGATCGCGGTACTCACGGATATTTCTCGCACACAAATAAAAACTGGTTCACAATTACCTATATTTACATTCACTGTGAAATTGATTTGAAAAACATTTTCGTGTATACTCACGCCTAGAAATATACATGGAGAAACGTGCGTTACCGTGACAATGAGACTGCAGCGACATTAGTAAAATTCAATAATATAAGACAGCGAGAAATTCAAATATTGAGTATATTTCAGTTGCCTCCAAGCAGGTAAAATGTAAATATAAGCTAGCGCGCTTCATAAAATATGCCTACGTGACAAGTCTGTGTGATTCACACACCAATAACTCACACAAAACTAAAAAGCATTCCTTAAGTATATGTTGGCATGTACTTGTATCCGATGGCATCAGTAATTGGGCTAACCTGTATCTGATGTTTTCATTTGTTGGACTAACCTGTATCTAATGGCATCTATAATGCTGATGAGGAAAGCTGTAACAAGGTCCATCAAGGTTTTACTGTCTCTGTACTGAGATTTGACATATGCCTGCAACCCTTGTGGTGCCCCACTGACGTCTAAAAGACTGTGCAGGGGTTTGTCAATGACAGAGAGAGCCTCAGCATCTTTACCTTCAAACACCAAAGAGCTGATGTGGTGAGTCACCTTAAAATTGAAAAAAAAAGTGTTTGAAACAGATATTTGAAAAAAAAAATGACTTTTTAAATGTCTTTTCAAAAAAAATAATGAAGTTCACTTATTTTCAGGTAATTCTGATAACCAAAACATTAAGGCATCATAAGAAATATGATTCCTGCAAACCTGTACAGTTTGTTTCATATTACACTAAAATTCAAATACTGTAAATTTCTTATTTTAATATTCAACAAATTAATTTCCTCACAATTTCACAATAAGAATCACTTGCGAAATAAAATGACTCGCTTTTATATTCATAGTGCTGAAATCCATTTAAATTCTATTGATCAACCGTCCAATTGCAAATTTTTATTCTCCCAGTCTGACCTTAAAGAGCCCATTTGATGATGTGCGATAAAATGTACTTGCAAAAAATAAGAAATCTACAGTAGTTACAATAATGCTAAAAATATCTGTTTTTCCCACCGATACCTGTAGCCTGATGACTTTGGTACATAAAGACACATTTGACACCGAGTACCGTAACACTCCCGACTTCTGACCTGACTTCTCTCTCAAGCAGACTTCTTCACAAGTCTCTCCGTTCTCTTGTGTCCCGAGGCCATCAGTGCGAGGCCAATCCATTGGTACATAATCTTCCTCCTCTGTAGAATCCCGTGAGATCAGAGAGTGAGTGTTACTTGTGTCTTTTGGGTTTGTAGACTGAATGTTACTCTTGTCCTGTGGGTTTGTAGACTGAGTGTTACTCATGTCCTGTGGGTTTGTAGACTGAGTGTTACTCATGTCCTGTGGGTTTGTAGACTGAGTGTTACTCATGTCCTGTGGGTTTGTAGACTGAGTGTTACTCATGTCCTGTGGGTTTGTAGACTGAGTGTTACTTGTAACCTTGGGGTTTGGATACTGAACGTTACTCTTGTCTTTTGGATTTGGATACTGAGTGTTACTGTTGCCGAGTGAGTTTGAAGACTGAGCCTTACTCTTGTCCTGTGAGTTTGAATTTCTTACGTCCTGTGAGTTTGAAGACTGAGCTTTACTTGTGTCTAATGTTTCTTGCCGAGACAGATCTAACAAAGCAATATCCTTTTTCCTGTCATATTCTCTTAGCTTATTTGTCTGACATTCATTAAGAGTGGAACTCCCATCATTATTTCTACTTGTGTCTTCATTGTCTTTAGATAAAATTCCTTTAGATAGATTTTCCTCTGCTGGAATATCATTCACATCAAACATCGGGTCAGGTTGACAAATGGGCTCCGAGTTGCGTACATGACATTTACCGTAGGACAAAATATGGACACTGGGTTGCTGGGGTGGGGTTGGTTGCTATGGTGATGTCTGTTTGACCACACTTGGCGACCACCTCCTGGATCTGGCCCTTCCCACTCACGTTAATTTTCATTTCCGACCTATACCGTCTCTCTTGTGTTTCCTCCTTTTCTGATTCCTTCCGTCTCATTTGAACACCCTCCTGACTTGAGACAGATTTTAATCTCAGAGCTTCAGCAGCCTCCTCACTCAGAATAACAGTCTCCTATACCTCTAACCTGGCCTTGACCTTTGTAGTCTGATGGTCAAGGTCAGATTCGTCCTCTGAGCTGGTCATGGAGTCCAGTGGTTCTTTGTCGGCAAAGTGGACTTTGCGATCCAGGGCAGCCAAGTAACCTTTCTCTTCCGTCTTTTTGAGAATTCCCGCGGGTTCCTCTTCCTGGACAACCATAAAAATAAAGTGCCGCGCCACAGCATGATACGCCCGTCAAAAATTACAATTTTCTTCAACAGTTTAGCTTGCAATCATGTCAACCCTGATTCTAAATTTCCATGATTTTTCCATTCCTAAAAATATTTATCCATACCCTGTGATGTAGGCATTAGTTATAATAAATATTACATCATTGATGGATTTCTATGCTGGTTGTGTTAGACCTTGTCAAATGCCCATCATATTAAACAATATCAAATTAGTCTTAACAAATTAATTTATACCAAATTAATTTTGAAAAGAAAAGGCTGGCCATCAAATGACATATGCTATTAACTAACAAACAGTCAGGTGGTCTACTAGCGGAGCTATCTGACCAAACGCTTTTAAAACCATTTGACCCCCACATTAACATTCTAATGATACTCTGTCCGTTAATAATTAACATACCTTCATTCTCTCGTCTTTGTTGCTGCCTTTACCGTTCCACTGGTAAATAGTCAAACCCAGATCCAGAATAAAAACATATTCACTGTCCAAACGACTTTCACATCGTGGAACCTAGGGACGAAATATTATTTTGTAACTCTTGCATATGAAATGTAAGAATAAGGCAACAAAACCATCCATTGCCAAGTTTGCCTACAACTAGACAAAATGAAAGATAAAACTGTATGAGTACTCGAAAAGGTAGCTGGACAGATAGACAGAGGAACAAATATAACCATTCTACATTTATCTCATGGGCCTCAATAACAAAAATACACACAAATGATACATGTACTATACTTAAGTTCAATTCCTGTCATAATTTAGGTGTCGTCTGCTACTAAACTTTAGATCTGTTTTGATTGCATGATTTTTTACAAAAGTTGTTTAGTCTCATATAACTGCAGCAGTGTGTGCTAACAAATTGAATAATATGTATTAGCGCAGTTAGAAAAAAATGTTTGCAAAATTTTACCGTTACTGTTTTGAGACTACATCTTTGAGTTTCCAGAAATGTTAATTCAATGCTACTTTAAATGTTACGTTTTTTTAAACTCGCTGTCTTGTCTGTTTATGTATTGTATATTTCAAAATCCCTGATCTCTCTTTAAGATTGGTTACAATTAAAGGAAAATCCTTTCCAACAACTTCAATGTGAGTGTGAATTTTGATTTTTTTTTAAAATCAATATATAAATATTGCACTTGCACAGCATTCAGTGTTTGTAATATCAAAATAAGAATTACAACTTTTTGAATTCCCTATCCATGCAGTGGTTAATTAAATACAAAAGCTTTCCAAACATTTTATGTGCAAAATACACATGGAACATTATTTTGTATCTATATTTCTTTTAAATAAAGAACATAATTTTGTGGATTTTTTTTTACATGTAGAACATAATTATGTTTATCACTAAGTATGTAATAAACATATTAATACAGACCCTTTTTCACATCACATCCGGTATCAGCCCTTAACCAATATCAGCCCTCAGGCCTTCGGCCCTCAGGCTGATATTGGTGTCTCGGGCTGATACAGGATGTAATATGGAAAAGGGTATTTATTATTCTCTATATACTGTATACAGGGTTATTTTCGCCCTGTGTTATTTTTGCCCTTTCAAACTGTAAAACAATTTGTCCCGTTTTAAATTCTTCCAGTATTAGTTTTGTTTAAGAAATTATACTGAATTATTTGAATTCACCCCGTTTTAAATTCACACTAATGAGGTAACAGCGAAAGGGTAAAAAATAACACGGGGCGAATTTTATCCTGTATACAGTATTTCCTTTTACATGCTTGACCTCCACGTGTTTCCTGGTGCCACAGAAGTTAAACAGACGGGCTGTGTATTTCTCAGGCGTCACATTATTAAAGCCAGTCTCTGCTCCTCCCTCTAGAATTCTGTAATATCAAACTCTAGTGATTCAGGGAATTCTATAATATCAAATTCTGGTGATGTAGAGAATTCTGTAATATCAAACTCTAATGATACAGACAATTCTGTGTTATCAAACTCTAATGATTTAGAGAATTCTGTAAAATCAAAGTCTAGTGAGTTAAGGAATTCTGTAATATCAAACTGTAGTGATGTAGAGAATTTTGTGATATCAAACTCTAGTGATCAAGAGAATTCTGTAATTTCAAACTCTAATGATATAGACTATTCTGTGATATCAAACTCTAGTGATTTCGATAATTCTGTATTATCAAACTCTAATGATTTTGAAAATTCTGTAAGAGCAGCAATTAAATGACTAGTCCAATTTGTTACGCCTTAATATTTTGACGATTTTATGCTTAAACGACGCATGCAATAACGTCAGAAATGGATGTCATTTACAAAATCAGCCCGAATTCTGTGCGTGATGTCAATATATGAATTTTTTAGTTTACGTTATCTTATGGAATAAAAAAAAAGAAGATTTCGAGCAGAGACCGAGCAAAACCAAAATCTAAAAAAAAATAAAAATATGTAAAAATTCCACATGTGAGACCAGGTGTCTAGGAGGAATGAATGTCTCTAACCGCGAGCTCTGAGCAGGTAAACTGAAGTTTTTTCTTTATCAAATTCATTATGACGACTCAAAATTTTAAGATTTCTAAAAAGGTTGATGAAATCCCTATACTGTAGATTCTATGAAATGCCGAGTCCAAACGACTTATTAGTGTGATGAGCCAGAGGAGCCAACCCTGCTCTAAACATTGATGGTACTGAGAGCAAGAGATGCAAAGACCATCAACAGGTTATACTGGAATATTTATTCATACTAATTCATACTGAAATAAGAAAAGCGGAAAATTTTGAAATCTTACGTCATCTCATTTGTAATGCACTCTAGTTGTGAGTGGTGTCATGTAAGGTCAGAACTGTCTCCTGATCATGGAAAAATCATCGGTCTGTTAAAGGGATCTTTTTAATTTTTTGGAACTAATAAAAGCATCGTAAAAATGATCATTCTGAAACTCGAAAAATGTAAATACAGACCCTGAGACGTGCTACTACCCCCAAAAAGCGTTTGGCTTTCGTGCGCTTTCCGTTTCGTGCAAACCGTGTAGCGTTTCGTGTAAACCGTGCAGCGTTTCGTGTAAACTGTGCAGCGTTTCGTGTAAGCTCCAAAGCGTTTCGTGCAAACCGTGTAGCGAGCGTGCGAAAAGCTTGTGAGAAACGTGCGACTTTCGTGTAAGAACCGTGTGAGAAACGTGCGACTTTCGTGCATGAATCGTGTAAGATTCATTCAGAAGTCATTTCATTTTAAATATGGCTATCGATGGGTCAGGATGTAAAATTCTATTAGTATTTTATTATTGAATTAGTTATGCTTGTGATATTATAAGAGTAAAAACAATAAAAGAAAATGGAACAACAAAATGAAATTAAACGATAATGTATAATTTATATTTGTTTGATTTATTTTCCTTCTATAGAAAATGTGTTCAAATAAATCAACTATGTACAACAATTTTAAGGGCATTGAATTCAATATACTACATGTATCAACGCGATCGTGGCTTCTTAAATATTTTTTTCTCAAAGAAAGAAAGAAATACCGGTATTATTTTTTTAATCTAAAGCAAAAATATATCAGGACTCCGCTCTTGTCTTTACATTTGAAAGGATGTGTCATTTCATATCTTTTAATACATAAAACGTGTTGCTCATTATTGTCAAATAAATGGATTTTATAATTTTAATTCACATGCACTGACGACCACATCTTTATAAACGAAGGGGGATGTTAAATTAAATTACTAGTACAGTCTTTCATTTTTTGTTGTAACTTTCAATCTAATGTTAGTTTAAGTAAATGCTTAATTTTCTAATTTTTTTTAATCCTTTGTTAAATGTGTGTGCAGATACACCCGTTCAAAATGTATTGGAATCTTCTCTCCGCCTTTCAACTGTGATCAAGGTCATTTACAACAGCGATCACGGGCTCAGAGTGCATGACAACTGAAAGCCTATTTTGCTATATGTACATGTTGAGTTCACGGCTTAATGACACCTGAAAATTAAGACTGGATTTTATTATTTTTTTAAAAATAAAATGGTTTTATAAATATTTAATGGGTACAACTTATAAATCATCGGATTTTATCTTTTATTTGTAAATCCGAATTTCTAGCCGTAAAAAGTAAAATAAACAGAACTGATTTGGTAGTCTTTTCATGAATATCATGTAAGAAAAGCTTAAGAGTAAATCATGAGTAATTGTATATTATTTGTTTAATAAATCACGTACAACTTTATTTCATATAAGATATTTCAGTTTTCTTGTAATATACCTGAATGCTGGTGTAAAGATCGATCTATATTGTATGCACAATGTATTGTCAAATGCCGCGACTATTAATAAATGTACACATATACATACGTTTAGTCCTGTTTTGAAATGAAGGATTTTACAGTATGATGGGTATACTGATGTTATTTGATAAGCTTCATATAAAAAGAGAAAAAGAATAGAATAGATTAATAGATCACATTAACCCCCCCCCCCTTTCCCCCTTTACCGGTTTCCAACCTATTAATAATGCTTGCGTAAAATATTATTTAAAAAAT